ATGCAACTGGAAGTGATTGGAATCAATGATAGTCCCTGGGGGACACGCCCGAACCCACAAAAAGTGGATTCCCAGGACCGGTCCCGGGACCGGTCCCGGGACCGGTCCTGGGACCAGTCCTGGGACCAGTCCTGGGACCAGTCCTGGGACTGGTCCTGGGACCCTGGTTCTGCTGTTTTGGATTACTTGTAGCCAGCCAAAACCGGTCCTGGGACCGGTCCCGGGACCAGTCCTGGGACCGGTCCTAGGACCAGCGGTTTGGTCCTGGGACTGGTCCCAGGACCGGTCCTGGGACTTGGTCTGGGAAGCCGCGGGATCGAGTCCTGGTGTGACCGCTGGTCTTGGGTCCCAATTCAATATGCTGTGCTGCCTCAAACCGCTCCAGACACCTTTCCGGACTGGCACCCATGACCCTGCGACCAAGCCGGCCCGTTGTTGACGTCCTTGTGGTAGTAGAGGATCCCATCTATTCTGCAAGAGAGTCCCATACGTCAAGTCAAACCGCGCCAGACTGGGACCAGCCTGGACAGGGTCCCAAGTCCCGGTCCCTGCCGGCGACCGGTCCAGGGCAACTTCGGGAGGGCCAGTTTCAGGGCGACCCCGGGAGAGGCGACTGCTCCCGGCCAACTCGAAGTGACTTGGGCGCAAGCCGGCCCAAGCGGTAATTAACGGACTAGCTGCCCTATTTCTGACTTTTCCGTTAATCCTTGTTTCTGGTCAACTTCGGGAGGGCCAGTTTCAGGGCGACCCCGGGAGAGGCGACTGCTCCCGGGCCAACTCGAAGTGACTTGGGCGCAAGCCGGCCCAAGCGGTAATTAACGGACTAGCTGCCCTATTTCTGACTTTTCCGTTAATCCTTGTTTGTGGTCGTAGAGGATCTTATAAGTGGTCCCTGGGTTTGCGGACGTGTTTCAGGACCGGTCCTTGTGACTTTTCCCTTAATGCGCCGAGGGTCGGCGGCAGCAGGCGGGAGCCTGGTTAATAAAATGATCTGGATGCCAGCGGTAGAGAACAAACGGACAACTCAACTTAACGACAATACAAATGATACAGTCATCTCAATCCCATGATTCCCAACAATTTTATATAAACTGAATTGGCGGCCCAATGTTCAATCAATCCAGCATGTAAGTCTGCAGACATAGAACATATGCGGACAGGCATATCCAAAGACTGAGTCTATTCTACTCATAAACACTGTGTCAACAAACTTGAATGCTCTCGCACACGTCAATTTGTCAGCCTGGTAATTCCTGGTACCAATGCGCCTAATTCCCTTATCTGCCTCTCCAGGCATTGCCAAGGACTTGCGAGGATTCCCACCTCCACTCCTCATCCACTAGGTCCTCCAGTAGAGAGGTTAGAATAAGGGTACCCTTTTTTCTCCAGTCTATTCTAGTAGGGGAACCTTCTTCCAAAAAAGGGTAAAAGGGCACTACTGGACCGTTCGCCCTTGCGTTGCTCAGTCTCTTGGTCCCTCTGCTCCGTCCCTGTCCCTTCGCCGCTTCTTCGCTGCCTCTCCATCTGCTTCTCCATCCGTGCCATAGACAGTTTCTCAGAAAATCTCGGAAAAAACCAACAGACCTAGGGCTCCCCACGTTTCCCCGAACACACCCCTGAAGGGAAGCTCACCTGAAAACCACAAAGGGAAAGATGGGGAGGTTTCCCCAGCGGCTTGTGCGACACTTGGCATCCCCAGCCTCATGTGCTTGAAAGAAGCTGCGCACTTCATCCAAGGCTTCTGGGTCAGCCTCACGGGGAATCCACACCAATGCACCGTGCATCGCGTAGCCTTCGGCAATCTGAAGCTTGGAAGAACGGTATGATTCGCAAAAATCGCAGGTGCGCTTTTTGGCATGTCACAGTACCAAAGAAGAGGAGGGACTAGGTTGGGGACACTACCATCCAGCCATTCGTGCTCGTGCATCAGCAAACGAGGTGCTTGTTGTGCGGCTAATTGGCTCATTTTAGGTTAAACATGGAGGGTGTGCTTTAGCCTGAAAAAAACCTGCTGCCTCAGGTTGGCCTGCTCGCATTGCAACATCTGGTGTGGCATGAAGGTATAATTACATACAAAGTTGGCTATGATTGATTGTGTATGTAGTTTAGTCAAAGTGTTCTTCGGCTCTAGCGTGCCGCGCAGACTTCACTAGGACATGTTCTGGACGTCAGTTATTTCTGGAATCGACAATAGGTAGATCAAACAGCATTGGAGTCAGAGGCGCGACACAACTGCATAGCAAACATGGACTCCGAACACACTGGCTCCTGGGCAAAATGCTATGGCGAAGGCCCAAAAACAATAACATGCTTCACGAGACCCGGTTTGCCACAACAGGTTGTTAAGATCTCACTTGCAGGGCGTGTGTGGCACTCGCAAACTGAGCTTGACACAACTCTTTGGGCTTGCTTGCAAAGTGCACTGGTTCAGAGAAAGTGGCAGCCTTGTATGAGAACGAACTTCGAGAAATGAACATTCGGGTTGGCTCAGGGAGTTCACATTCCATGGCGATAGATTGATCATGCTTCGTGCCGGGTCGTCGGTGTAAGCACATGGCTACTTCCTTTTGGTAAGCTGTTCGCACCCATTACCTTGCGGCAGATTCCTGGACGGCAGCTTACATACAACTCAGCCTGGGTTCAAAGCATGTTTCCTATCGCAGTTTGCCTGCTGCTGTCCGAAGTTGGCAGCTTTGGCTTAGTTAGGTCGACGGAAAAGTTTTGGCTTCCCCGCGTAGCTTGATGCGGTCGCCGTTTCTTCGCGTGCTTGCTGAAAAGTTGGACTATGGCAGCTCTGGGTTGAAAGTCGCAACTTCTCAGTATGCACCGCTTGTTCACCTCCAAAAGAAGATATTATTGTAGTTGGGGCTTCGCTACTCACGCTTTCACGCAAATGCCGTACGATGGGATCACTCAAAGTTTTGTAGACAAGGAGCGTAGCCTACTGCTCAAGCGGTATTCAGAAAGTCTGCACATGTCTGCACGATTGAAAGTAGATGCTCACCAAAGGAAGCGAAGGCCTGTTGCGTTGCCTGGCTCCACCATTGCGAAGCGCAGCTCAGGCTCCGATCCTTTAAGAGAGTCACATTTCCTGCCATGCAGTCTGCCCAGCATGGAAAGCAAAGAAGAGTTGTGCCTCCGACTTGTGCGCAACCTCAGGAAAGCCCAGCAAACCCCGTAGACCGAATGCCAACAGCAAAGCAAAGAAGCCAGGCAAAGCACCCACTCCCCTTGCTTCAATCAAGTGCAAAGCAATTTTCGGTACCTTTTTGGGCATCCTTCGTTGTCCGTCAGTTCCAGCCAAGTACCCCACTCCCCTTTTTGGCAACCAGGCCTGAAGGCTTACGCCTCTGACGTCAGCAATGTGCTGCAGCAGGCCATCCAGGTCCTCCGCCAAACAAGGAGAACAAAGACGTCATGTGCCTAGTTGAGTTATCAACAATTCTCGATTGCTTTCTGCTCCCCTGCTAAAAGTGAATAACTTGTAGTGGTTTAATGGAAAACCCATTAGTTGGCAAAAGTTGAAGTCCTGACATCCAAGCAACATTCACCAAAGAATTGACCCGCTTTGGGAACACCTTCTGAAACGGCGGGGCGCAATGACACCAAGGTCTGGCAACCATCTGTTCTCAGGGCAGTTGGACGTGTTACAAGTTACTTGAACTGGGGTATCCGCCAGAAAATTGCAAAGCAAAAACCAGTGAAACTTTGTGAAGCCAACAATCTGTGAATCACCGACAACATTGACACACCGATAAACGCCCATGAAAACCGATAGCCCAACCGCCCCCCCCCCCGCCCGCCCCCGATCTGAAAAACCCATAGGAATTATCCAAAAACGGCACCCCCGCCCACAATGTCCGCTACTAAGGGAAAAGCAGTGTCAACCACAATTGGTAAAGATTGCCGTGCTGGTCAAAGCTTCTTCGGAAAGTCGGGCCAGCAAACCACTTGTTTGAAGTGCTCAGGAACATAAACTCGTGGTGCCATCAGCAACTTCACATTCTTCCCAGGACAGTACTCATTTGATGATCCTACCACATCTTGAGGGTACTGTTGCAAGGCTACGTGCATATCTGTGTGCCATTTACAGAGTTGAAACAAGCTTGATCCAGTTCCAGCATTCCGTCCAGCATCCTCATTGGTTGCCACCGTTTTTCCTTTCGACTCGGCCACCAGGCGAGGCCGCCCGGCCAGTCCTTTCGCTCCGATGCTTCTATACGCTCCTGGGCGTGGCATGGTCAAGCATTGCCCAGGCCGCACCAGGCGCTATTCTGAGGAAATACTGTAACGAGGTCCTTCAGTAGAGAGCTTAGAATAAGGGTGCTCTTTTTCTGCAGTCTATTTCAGTAGGGGAACCCTCCCCCAAAAAAGAGTAAAAAGGGCACTACTGGGGGACCTAGGTAACACACAAGCTCCATGAACAAACATCCAGTTTCCAAGCGGGAACACGTGGCTTCAGAAACTGGCAACCATTGAATGTAAACGGTTCTGACGGAGCACGGCGTGTTGTCAAGCCGAACCGCTCTGACATGGATGAAAAGTGGCAAACAGCTTGTGTAGTGATGTAAATTGGTGAAATTGCGTGATAATGCAAAACATCAGTCGCGCACACATCTTTCTCTGCGATTGTCATTCTTCTGCATGGCGCTGTCTTTTTGTGGCATTGGTCTTAGTGGGCGTGCGGTTGGCAGGCTTTGAAGACCGTCAACCAAAATGTTTGATTTTTGAAAGCTGCGTTCCGCGAGCCTCAGAGGTTTTCATCAAATAAGCATGTTTGTTTGATCAAGTCATACATTCTGACTGCAACTGCTTCCCAGCCAGTGTGCCACAAAGCCACTCGGAGGTGAAACCGGGGCTGGGATTGCTCCCGCTGAAGCAACGCAACACTGCAATTTCAAAAGGGTCGAGATTTGGTGTGGGATTTGTTTTGCTTTATTTTTGGAATTCCCAAAGAAAACGAAACAAGTTTCTAAAACAAATGGCCCTCCATTTCATGATGGTCTGCCAGCGCCGGAGCCTTCCTGCCCACCTTGAAAACATGGCAGTCACTTCATTCCTTGGCTGCGACTTGATTGCTATCTGTGGCATCGCCCCGACTCCAAGACTGTTCCGACGGGTAATCGCTTCCTTGTCATATTGCTGCTGCAGCAAGGTATTCTGCATGACACTGCTGAAGCAGCGAATGTTGGTGACTATCTTCTAGTTGTGTAGGTCAAACTGCAACCACGTTGACAGACATTTCACCAGAGTTGGCTGCTGCAACTGTTCCTCACACTCGGCCGTGAAGTGTGCTGGTTGTTGCTGTTGCACTGGCTGTTGCACTGGCTGTTGCACTGGCTGTTGCACTGGCTGTTGCACTGGCTGTTGCACTGGCTGTTGCACTGGCTGTTGCACTTGTTGCTGCTGCTGCTGCTGCTGCTGCTGCTGCTGCTGCTGCCTCTGCCGCTGCCGCTGCCGCTGCTGCTGCTGCTGCTGCTGCTGCTGCTGCTGCTATGCAGTGCACATATTGCTCACCATATGTCTAAGCCAAAGACAGTTAGTGAAGTGGGAAGTGCAGGTCACCTCAATGCCCACAACCACACCATTGACTGTTGCTTAAGAAATGCATCATTTTGCCGCGCCTACCGATCTCAAAGTCAAGATTGGTCGGTCCTCTCGGATGCGTTTCTCAGAGTAAACAAGCGCAAAGAAAAGGCAGCGCCCATTACATATCCGGGCTCGATCGCTGCAGCCCCTCCCCCCCCCCCACCACAACCCCAAAAAGGATAAGGGGGTCTTGTGGTGGGTAAGGGGATCCCTAGTGATTGGCTCTACGTAGAGTTCACAAGTCCGGGGAAGAACGGTCCAGCATCTGCAGGCCCAAACAAGCCGATCATGAGATTTCCTTCGTCTTGTCTCTTAGTCTCCTGTTCCTGTGGAGTCGGCAAAAACGGCAGAAGGGAACAAACGTGTCATCGACAGGAACAAGCGAAGAATTGATCAAAACTTGCGGAAGCACAAAAACTATCGACGCATGAAGACGCGAATGCTATTACCCCCCCCGACCCCCCCCCCGCCACGAAAACAAAAAAGGAGCCAAAATATACAAATTATGTGGGGCCGCTGATGGCGGTGTGAGCAAAAACTAGCAGGTAAACTCATCACTGCCGAAGTCTCTCGTGACCGTCCGCTGTTTTGTCGCGTCTTTCACCACCTTCTCGTCCGTAGGCAGGCCCTTCCGCTTGCGGATGTCATCCACCAGCTTGCCTCAAATCAGAACAAAGGACAGATCCTACGGCGGCGGCCCAGACCTTTGGCGAAAACAAATGTAAACATGAAGTCCAAATGCAATGTGCAGTTTCAATGGGTCGAATGTGTTCGCACCGAACATTCGTGAGCCCAGGAGTCTGATACGAACGTCGACGGAGCCTTGACAGCTTCGGCTCTGTCACGGGAGAGTAAAGACCTCTCAAGGCCTAGCATCCACAGCTTCCGGTTGCTACTTTGGCGGTGCGGCTCGCTTTTGGCATGGTCAAGGTGAAGCCAAACTCCTCAAAACGAGCCTCTAAACGGTGGTTTTCAAGGAGCTCTCCACCCCTAAAAGGTTTCACTTGCGGACTTGTTTTTCGCTTTCAGGATCTCTTAAGTTGGCAACCAAAAAATCATGTTTAACACAGCACGGGGAAATCTACGGAGCTGTTTGGACCTTCTGACCCTCAACGTGCCTTTCTTCACCTTCAAACGCCTTGAGACCCACCTTCCTCTCGCGGCGAGGCACGGGCGGTGTTGGGCGGAGGCGGCTGGTCGCCCATCTCCTCCAGGTCTTCCGGGCTACACGCCTGGAAGGGATCCTCCTGCGGGATGGGCTCAATATGGCCATGGGTCAAAACGCGGCCCGCCTTTGCCGGGTTGCCCGTGTTACCTTGGTTTGGAGGAAACCGCGAAGTGACATCCCAATTTTCTTTGCTACATAGCTATGGGTCAAAACCCCGATTAGCCCCCAGTGAACATCCCAATCACTAAAATAGGTTGCAAAATGGGTGGTGAATTCACCTAGCAACCAAAATGATACCATTGGTGTTGACCCACAGCCATATGTGGAACTTCCATGGGGGTCCCTTCAAAGAGTTCGAGTCCCAAGTTCTCCATGTACACTTCCCAAGAAAATAACCTAAATACTGGCATCCTTGACATAACCTGGGTGGGTTTACACTTCCCTTTAATAGCATGCAGAAGAAAAATGGCACACCTCTGAGGTGTTTGGTGGCCGTGTTTACCGCGGTGATCTTTGGGCCGGAGCAAAAAAACAACCTAAGGTAAGATCTATGACGTGTTGGGGGGAACCCCAATTCTAACGATTCCCCTGCTTAGGGACTCCTAGTTGGAGATCGGGCTTGGATTCGCCTCAAACACAAACGAATGTAGAGGCCGCGAGCTGTATTCCCAAGCAAACCGCCGTAAAGCCCTGATTTCTCATATTTAGCATCTTTTTCCCCTAAGGTGAGGCCTCTCCCGGCCTCTCCTTCTCTCCCCCCCCCAAAAAAAAAGAGAAAACAGACCCCCACCCCCCCAAACCAAGAAAACAACATAGGGTCTGTCAACGGTGCGATTCATATGGCCTATGGGCTGACCCCCACCCCTGGCCGTAGGTTCCCCCCCGGTCCTCGCAAAGGTCCCAATGGCTGAAGGCCATGTGGAAGGACACGTGGCCGGAGGCCGCCTGTCGCAGCTGCCGCGCCAGCTCGAAGGAGTTGGCCAAAGGCCTCAGGCGGCGCAAGGCGGCTGGGGAAAGATGCCATGCTTGTAAATGGGGGAATACTGGAAGTAACTTCCCTGGAAGTTACTGGAAGTTACTTGAAGTTACTGGAAGTTGCTGAAGGTTACTGGAAGGTTACTCGAAGTTACTGCAAGTTACTGGAAGCTACTTGAAGTTACTGGAAGTTACTTGAAGTTACTGAAGGTTACTGGAAGATACTCGAAGTTACTGGAAGTTACTTAAAGTTACTGGAGGTTCCTGGGAGTTACTGGTTGACTGGAAGTTACTGGAAGTTGCTGGAGGTTCCTGGAGGTTCCTGGGGTTACTGGTGACTGGAAGATACTGGAAGTTACTTGAAGTTACTGGAGGTTCCTGGGGTTACTGGTGACTGGAAGATACTGGAAGTTACTTGAAGTTACTTGAAGTTACTGGAGGTTCCTGAGGTTACTGGTGACTGGAAGTTACTGGAAGTTACTGGGGTTACTGGGGTTACTTTCTGGCGTTACTGTGGGAATACTGGCATTACGCGGGGTTACTGAGGAGTTGCTGGTTGCTGGGGTTTCGGGGGTTACTTGTTACTGGGGTTACCGGGAATTTTCTCAGGACTGGCCAGAAGAACCAGGAACTAGTTTCAGCCTCGACGTGCAAACTTGGAGGCGGCTGGAAGAGTATCGAATCCCTATTAGGCTTACATGGAAGTGGCCGGCCTTCCAGGAAGTGCATGTCCAATCAGGCAGGCCTGTGGTTTTGCGTATTAAAGTCGCTTTTGTTGAAGGGAAACCGCAGGGAAGCTGCCATGTTGGGGAAGCCGTCACATCTGAACAGCTCCCACGCAACAAATGTGGCTGATTTTGAATGGAGATGGGGTCCTGCCTGCCTGCTTGCCGTCCTTCCTTCCTTTGTTTCGCAGTATAGAGGACACTTTCTTGCCTGGTGCGCGCTTTTGCTCGTCCCGCTGGACGCATGCTGAGATCGCGAAGCCAACAAGCCGTCAGTGAGGCGTGGCGCCTGGCCGGGTGTGACCTTGCTGGCCCGACTCGGGGAGTCGGGGAGGCACTCACGGCGCCAGAATTGGAGTCAAGGAATTGGACAAACTCGCACGTGCCAATGCTGGCGTTGCGAGCAGGTCCCGCTGTGTCTCAAAACCAGCGGTACCCCCAAGTCTGCGCATAGAGTCTCTGGAACAATGTAGGACAATGTGGCAGGTTCGAAATGAGCAAAACACGCTTGCAAAAGGTGGTATGTCACTGTTGCCCTGGACTGACGAGTTCCGACCCTAGAGCTCCCAACGAAAGCATCGGCTTCGGGAGACTTCCCAGCTGAGCCGCAAATGCGCCTGCACGTAGAAGATGGAGGTGCCTTCTCTGAGCACCTGTGACATGGATACAGCCATAGACCAGCACGTAAGGGCGGTAGGGGGGAATGTAATGACTGGAAAAAAATGGGGGGAGGATTCAATCTTGCACTATTTAAAAAGTCCAGGCACCGGTGGGGAACCCTTTTTCCGAACCCTCGGAACTACGGGCTTGCATTTTGGCAAGTCTGGATAAAAGTGTGCCTTTTTCTCCAGCAGTTTCCCTGGGACTGTGACCGCTGATAATATGTTGGGATGGGAATGTGCGGGAAAAGAACTGCGGGCCAGTGGATCAGTTGCAAACAGCCGCTGCCGACTTGTGTTGCATACACTTCAGGCAGGTCCAAGCAGCCAATGGTATTGGTTGCAAAACCTTGAATCAAAACCTCCCTAAACCAAGACCATAGACAAACTCGATTGACTCCGGGTCAACTCCCAACCCAAAAGCACTCCCAGACCGAAATCAACCGTGGACCGGTTTTCCCAACTGGCAGCTTCATCGAACCCCGGCGCAAGAGACCCGAAGGTGGCCTCTACTTGAGCTAGGGAGGGCTTGTGAAATTGCAGGATGACAAATGGTAAAAGGGACCCAGAAACACTTTGCACTTTGACATCCCATGAGTTTCAGACCGCGCAAAGTGGACAGCACTGATGCGACTTGAAGATGGAAACAAATCTGCATTTTATCTCTTCGGGCGCATGGTTGCCGCGAGGTGCACTTAAGCAACCTTCCAACATCAAAAGGAAAACCTGTCCCAACTTCTGTCTCCCAGTTCGCCTCGTTCTGGACCTTGGCCCGGCGTTTGCTGAGCACCGCATAGACCTTTCCCAGCATTTCTTGCTCACAGTGTAGATCCACGGCAAGCATGGCCTACGCAGGCCACGGCTCGAACGGGAGGCGCTGTGGCTCATCATAGGGCTGGATGAAGATGGGCATAGAGCTCGATCCATGTGGGTCAAGTTGCTAAAGATCCCCGACGACTCAAGGGATGATCCACCTACATGGACCTACCATGGGTCCAAAGGATTCTGCTAGGGCTATGGCTCATCATAGCATCTTCAATGATGTTATGCTCGCGTTTCTTGCGATTGGCCTCTGTTTCCACGACTGAGGTAAGGCACGCTACCCAAGCACTGATGCGGAACCTTTGGTTCACCATGCACAAAACATGCTGACCCCCTTGGACTCTGCACTGCTTGAATATCCCATGGAAAGCGGAGGACGCAAAGTTTCACCTGGAGAGCTTCAATGCTTGACGTTGTAAATATGATTCAGCGCCATACCAAGGGGCCAAGAAAAAACATTGCAGCCTAGGCTCCTGGTAATGGCTCTGAACCAGAACTGGAGTACAGAGACTGAATTCGGGGGGATGACTAAGCATGTGCCGAGGCATGCTTCACTGGGCTCTAAATAGGGGGTCTGGAAACAAACATCCCTTTGGGTTTTCTAGTGGGCAAGTTGCAACTTTTGAGCTATTTGGCAACCAATTTCAGATTGGGGTTGCTCTTGGGACCCAACAAGACACCCATCCTCCAAAATCGAAAACTGGACTTGTCCGGCAGCCGAATTGCCTGACAGCTTTGAGCAAAGTCTGCACTGTGTCCCTTGCTTATCCAATACACGAAGTTGAAGCAGTGAAGCCACCATGCGAACACCCCCGCCTCAGAAATGCGGGAGAAGCCCTTCCGCAGCAAGCAATAGCGGCAGGCATCCTAGCGACGCGGGAACGAAAGTCGCCTCCCTTGACACTCCGAGTGGGGGAAAGGTTTTTCTTCGCCTGTGATGGAAGGTGCAGAATGCATCATGTGGCTGTGTTTAGCTTCCTGTAATTAATGGCAATGCTCCTGGCTTGTTCAACATGCGTGGATCAGGGGCTCAAGCTGGCCAACAGGTCAGGTCTTAGGCGGTGGGGGTGGACAGTCGCTACATGTTCTGCAATGTGGATGCATTTTCCGCAATTTATCATATAAGATGCTGACCATGTCAGTAAAGCCGGCGGAGCCGGTTGGCGGGAATTCTCGAAATATAAGAACTATAGTTCTCTTTCCCTTTCTCGCATAATTGTTCTCTTTACTTTATCATTGTTTATTTGTCCTTGTTTCTTTCTGTATCTGGGTCTTTATCTTTCTCTCGCTTTTCTCTTTCCCTGTCTGTTCTTTCTGTTTGTCTTTTTCCTTCTCATTCTCGTCTCTTGCCTTCTTTCCTCTCGTTCTTTCCTGAATGCCTGTCTGTCGAGAAGATGCTTCGCGTAGATCACATCTTTAACTTTCTCTCTCTCTCTTCTCTTTCTCTCTTGTTCCATGTGTCTGCCTATCCATCTAGCTAAGCTAATCTCATCTGGTACATTAATCTATTCATTTATCAATTTTAGCTATCCACCTTCCAATTATCTATTTACCGAAAAATCCGCCTATGTATCTCCCCAAGTTAATGTAGCCCAAACTGTTCTGTTCTAATCTAGCTATCAATCTTTCTTTCTGGTACAAATTGTGTGGCAGCGCCGCTTCGCAAGGTCAGGTATAGATTTCGTGGCAAGCGCAGAACTTTCACATGGTCAGCCACGGTATAGGTTTCGTGGCGGCACAGCACTTTCGCAAAGTCAGAAGATAGTAGGCGGATAAATAGACAGACAGACAGATAGATAGATACAGAGCTAGACAGACTGCACGTATCTGCACGTGACCTTGCGAAAGCGCTGCGCCTGCGCGCGAAAGTGCTCCCAATGGCTCCCAACGCGCTCCGACCAGGCGTCGAGATCAGGCTAACTTTCGAACATCCCAAGAAACCGACACCCGCATTATAAACATTTCTATTCCCCCGCCACGCGCACGCATTTTTTCACCCGTGCTTTCTTCTCTTGCCATCTGCCTAAAAGGGCTAGCTTTCAATTAGTTCCTGTTCCACGGAAGTTCCTGTAAGCGTCCTTTGGTGATGTGTATATAATACGCGTGATATCATAGGATTATGTATGTACATATACAGGTGCATTCATGTCTCTTTCTGTCATGCATACATTGTGTATGCATATTTCCGTCATTCATGGCACTGCGGAGGGAGCGAGGGAGAGAGAAACAAAGAAAGGAAGGAAGGAAGAAAGACAGAAAGAAAGATAGAAAGAGGGAGGAAAAGGGCCAGAGGGGGGGGGGAGAGGGAAAGAGAGAGAGAGAGAGAGCGAGAGAGAGATGGAGAGACAGAGAGCGAGAGAGAGAGAGAGCGAGACAGAGAGAGAGAGAGAAATAAATATATAAATAAATTAAAAAAAATAAAAAAATAAATAAATAAATAAAAATAAATAAATAAAGAAAGAGATAGAGAGAGAGAGAGGAAGAGAGAGAGGGAGAGAGAGAAGGAGCGAGACGGGAGAGAACAAAAAAACGAGAGAGAGAGAGAGGGAGAGAGGGAGAGAGAGACAGCAAACAGCCAGACAAGAAAGGAACAGCTGCTGCGGAACTTCCAACGCGCGCACAAATAAAGAGTCCAGCCTTGGTTGCCACCATCACCTGCCCGCTCATTGGGCCGTAAGGGTTGGCCACATTGCCATGCTCCTGGCCAGTCAGAAAAGGTGCCCACTATGGAGAAGTAGCTCGTGTCGTCTTTCTGGAAGCAATCAAAACTATCTCAGTTGTGAAAGCAAAGCCCAACCTGGGCTGTGACACGTCCGAAACATGAAGCCATGAGCTGGAACATACTGGTGTTCTTCCATGCTTGTCGGAGAAGCAAAAAAAACGCTTCTGTTGCACCAACATGACTTCAAGGGGGGCCCTCCCGGAAAATCACGGAAAGTGGCCCTAGACACCAGCTTTCCACACCCTGGTGGGCTTGTGCTTTTGTTGAGAGGCACCCTTTGCCAGGTGACTCTTGTTCAGAACACCAACAAGGCAACTCATTTTACTGGAGGGGGCGCCCCGTGTTTTTCGACACATATCGACGTGTTCGACGGACGTGTCTCGCGCTCGCCGCTCCCGGCGCGGACACGCTCCGCCTCCTCTTCTCGGTAGCCCGCGGGACCTTGACCGTTAGCGCTGTGCACCAGGAAGGCCACGCCCCGCAGGGGCTCCTGGAGCGAAGAGCTGTCGGCCGAAAGACCTAAGGAACTGAGGGAATGAACCCAGGTTTTGGTAGGGGTCGTTCCCCCACTCCCTGAGCACCAGCAAGTTGTCAGCCCTTGTCGGGAAGCTGTTTTGCGACCCTTCCAAAACCCTGAGATCATCCACTTCCATGATTGAAGAGAGGGTAGTCAACGAGATTCCTGAAGGATAAGACTAGAGTAGCTTTAGATTGGTTCTTCGAGACTGGGGGAATGTGGTAGTGCACTTTTTGTGATGTTAAGGTTAAATATCTTGAGCAAGTTGTGTGCTTGCTTTGCGGAAGAGTGTTTGTAACTGCGATTTCTGAATCCGTAAATGAGGTCCTCTACTTTCGATTTTTGTAACATGCTGCTAGTTGCTGTTGCTCATTCAAGCCAGAGAACGCTGCAATTATCTTAGCATGTTTCTTTCATTCGTATTTGGCATTAGAGTTGAATTAGAATTCGAAACGATTCCAGTATCTGGAAAACAAGTTTGTTATTTCTGCTAATTTGCCAGCCCTTTAAAAATAATTGAACCACCAGAAGCGCAAAGACAATGCGATTTCAGCTCTAATGGTTTACAAGCTTTGAATTGCCACGCTCGAAGTTTAAGTCATATTTTGGTTAGAACTCAGTATATGAACTTATTTGGAATTAGAACTAACATAGGGCTTCCTCAAGTAGGATTCAAATTGGGAATTATAGAGAAACTAGCCCCCCCCCCCAAGAAAAACAAACACAAAAACGCTAGGGAACTCAGGCTGAGCTACTTCGAAGGCCACACCGCCCCATGAGACGACGTGGGCCAACATCTAGGCCATGGGCCAAAGCCATGTCTACTTCAGCTTGTGCCCCCAAACAAACTTTGATAGTGTGGGTGGACGAAATCCTGCACCACTTGGAAACTATGGGCAAATATGTTCAAGGGAATCATCATGCCAGGGAATCTTAGGTGGTGCAGGAATTGGTCCACCCACAGTAGCGAAGCTTAGCAGGCTTGACCTGCCAAAAAACAACACGCAGCCACTGCGTTTGGTTTTGTTCAAATATCAAGTTGCATGTCAAGCAGCCTGTGTTCAACCAACCGGTAAACCACATGGGCAGCGATTTTCAAAGGACCCACCCGAAGAAGCACTAGCACACACACACGTATATATATATATATACATACATATGAGCCAGCGTCTATATTTGCTGTGTGGGGTGTATTCATTCTACTTTTAGTGAGTCCCCTATCGTTCTCCACGTTTCGCGTGTTCGTGCTGTGCCCGATGAACCCTCTGCAGGGATCGCGCGCCTCGAAGCGCTCCCACTGTGGCGCCGTGCGAATTTGTAAAGCGCCCGATGAACCCTCTGCGAGGATTGCGCGTGCCACAGCGCCCTCGCTGTGACGCCGTGCGAATTTTAAAACTGCCCGATGAACCCTCTGCAGGGATCCTGCGCGCCCAAGCGCTCTCGCTGTGGCGCCGTGCAAATTCGTAAAGTGCCCAATGAACCCTCTGCGAGGATTGCGCGTGTCAAAGCGCCCTCGCTGCGACGCCGTGCGAATTTGGAAAGTGCCCGGTGAACCCTCTGCAGTGATCCTGCGCGCCCAAGCGCTCTCGCTGTGGCGCCGTGCAAATTCGTAAAGTGCCCAATGAACCCTCTGCGAGGATTGCGCGTGTCAAAGCGCCCTCGCTGCGACTCCGCGCGAATTTGGAAAGTGCCCGGTGAACCCTCTTCGCGGTGACCACGCGTGCCCAACAAACTTTCTACGCAAACCCCTATAGCGCCGCGCGAACTCGAAAAGCACCCGACAAACTTTCTACGCAAACACAGCACTGGAACCACACGCGTAGTCTTTTGTAAGCAAATGCACTAGGCCTCACATTTGCAACTCGGGCCAATGCTCGGGGTATCGACGGGGTATCGACCGGGGTATCGTTCTGGGCGTGTGTCGCGTGACGAAAATTTTCACAATTTTCCATAAGCTGTTAGAGCCAAGCAAACACACAATAGCCTTCTCTGCCTTGCGGTAATCATATATCAGTCTTGGCGGCTTGCTTGCTGGCAGCAACCTCAAGGTCGCAAGTCGCAACTTTCACCACAAGCGCAGTGCACAAGTTACACTTCGGCAGCTCCAGCTCGAAGGTCGCAGCTTGCGGCGGTCACGTGTCAGTCTAAGCGGCTTTTGCTTGCTGGCAGCAACCTCCAGGTCGCAAGTCGCAGCTTTCAGTACAGGCACGGTACACAAGTTAGACTTCGGCAGCTCCAGCTCGAAGGTCCAGCACAAACCATGTTCAGGGGTATCGTTTTTTGTGAGTCCCCTATCGTTCTCCAAGGAAAATGCAAAAAACCAGTATTGAATGAAACGCCGTTGATAAAGTGGTCTTTGATAATTCTGAGGTTGACTCATATACATATATATATATATATTTAAATTGAGCCAAGCCCGCAACACATCAGTTCGGTCAGTTGACAGCCTATGGATCGCATCACCAATCAACTCTGCAGAACTGCCGCCATCCAGCTGACACGCCAGTTGTGCTGATTTGCTGAGTTCACTGGCCCAAAACGTCTCCAAACCGTTTGGCCCTCCCCTTCCTTCACTTCGATCGAAACCTCGTGGTATCAAGGCACCTTGGCCACGAGTGGGTGGCACGCAAACTTTTGGTACCCACCCCACCGGCTAACATGGAAGTGCACAGACCCCTGTAAAAAAAAAAAGAAGAAGAGATTACTTTCCTCTTGGAAATGGGGTTTGCACTTCCATGTTAGTTGGTGGGAGGGCATCATACTTCACATGTCAACTCCTCCTGGAGTCCCAAAAAAGGAAGCCTCTCTCGGGTCCTCGCAGAGTGGACCTGCAGCTGAGGCCTGGTAGAAGCCGGCCAGGAGATGTGGTCGCATCCAGTGTGGCACACCTGCCAGATTGACTCAAGCTGCTACCTGAACCCTCAAAATTCCATCTTAAAAATGGGTTTGACCCCCAAAATTATTGGGTGATATCCCATTTTTATGGGTAGTTTGAGGGTCCAGGTAGACGTTTCCCCAACCGCCTTACGCTCGGGACTTACCCTCTGCGGGACTCCCTCGGAGCTTACCTCTACGGAGCTTGCCTCTACCGGACTTACCCTCTGCGGGACTTACCCCACCTCATCAATGCAGCCGATATGAATCCGTGCCCGGCTAGGTTCGCTTCCCCCAGATTCCGATGGGCCCGAACAGCTCACGTGCCAAAGCCAAAGCCTCCAACCGCGCAGGCCGCCCTTGTCACATCCATGTGGCTTGTCTCGGGGATGCCGGAAAAGAGTGGTTTCCCTTTGGCTGTGCTTCAAGTCCATCCAAAAAAGGGCGGTTCCTGAAACAAATAGGTCAGACCCATTTGTGGAAACCACGCATATGCAGTCAGTGTTCCTTTCCAAATGCATGTAGCCATGAAGATCTCGGAAGACCACCTTTGTTAGGAAAACCTTCCTGTCAACTTCCATTGGCACATTCACTGCAAATTCAGCAAAGGGTCCCTCACGAAACTTGCTTTTCCCACACAAATGCGGGTTACCATTGGTTGCCCAAACACACATCCCCCGAACGGACGGAACCCAACCCAAATACAACCCCAACCCAGCCTCCTTCCTCGTCCCGGCGAGTCCCGAAGCCGCTGTCATAGGCGTGGCGCAGCTGCCAAGTGCCGCTTCCGTCCAGCAGCAGCGTGCGGCTACCCCGGTCCTTTGGGAAGCTCCAGGGATACCCCGACATCGATGTTCCTTTGATTTGAACTAAGGGATTCGATGGCTCAAAGGTGTATGGACCCATAGAGGACTTTAAGGGTGGCTGGTTTCCAATAGATAGGTCATGAGTCACGACTACGACGTTAGGTTCATACCAGCGTTGCATAGAAACATAGGTATTCACTCGGTCCTTCAATGTCAGGTAGGCTGGGACACGTCCTAAACCTTTAAAGCATAAGCTGGGACATATTGGTGCTTGCTTCTTGTTGAATGGCTGGTCGGCTGGTTGCTTGCTTGGTCGGTCGGTGGATGGTCAGTTGTGTCCGTTTGTTTGCTTGTTTTTGTTTGTTTGTTTGTTTGTTTGTTTGTTTGTTTGTTTGTTTGTTTGTGTGTTTGCTTGTTTGCTTGTTTGCTTGTTTATTTGCTTGTTTGTTTGTTTGCTTGCTTGCTTGCTTGCTTGCTTGTTTGTTTGTTTGTTTGTTTGTTTGTTTGTTTGTTTGTTTGTTTGTTTGTTTGTTTGTTTGTTTGAGTTGATTGCTTGTTGATTCGTTGATTCGTTGGTCCATTGCCAGTGCAATCTAAAACACATTATCTGGCAAGTGTAAGCACATGTGCATGGTGCATGCATCTGCAACCTGATCGGGCTAGCATATCTTTGTCATCTGGAGAGTGCCTACATGATTTGAGCGGGCACAATCTCGGGCAAGATTTTGCCAGCTTTCAGCTTTCCAACCTTTCACTGGATAGTGGCTAACCTTGAACTAAGGGAACCCCAGTAGGAGCCTTCATCGCCTTGAAATTTGCCCAGAGACATACTAGGTCCTCCAGTAGAGAGGTTGGAATAAGGGTACCAACTTTTTCTGTAGTCTATTTTAGTAGGGGAACCCTCCCAACCCAAAAAAGATGAGAAAGGGCACTTAGCTGGGGGACCTACTGCAGGGAAACCATTGTTTTTTGGTATTTACGGGGGAATCGTCATTCGAGGGTGTCTTTGGTGGCGCAGGATTTTGTCCGCCCACAGTTTCTGCAGTGCGCTTGCCGCCAAGGAGCAACACTCATGCCAGAAAGGCTGATGCTGCTCTCGTTGCACGCCTTGAAGCTGGGCTCGTCCACGTCAGCTTGCAGCTGCCTGCAACAACTGCCATGCACATGTACAAGGGGAGCTAAGGATATCCCCTGCCATGAGGACAAGTTGATCTGTGGACTCTATATATATATATATACATATATATATATATATATATGTATGTATATATGGATATACAATGCAAAACAAACACATCAACACATACGTAGCATAACCGCCCACGCCTGCAGATTTCGCTACCAAAGGTCCAGCCATTGCTCTGCTCAGATCGCCTTCAAACCACACGCAGCTGCAACCCTTTAGCCAGGGCCTATCAGCGTTCGAGTCCCAAAACAAGTTGCTTCGGGTCCATGGGTTGCCATGATCCAAAAAGCCAACTTTTTGTAGAAATGCGACATGTAAAGAGATCCCGGAACATCCCGGAACCAGATACGCCTGAACTGCTCCTCGACCTCTGAGAGGCATCCCAGCAGCGTGCCGTCGGAGGCGCCCATCAGCTCCTTGGTGCGACACATCTTCCATCGAGCCTCAATGACCTCCCCGGAAACTGATTTCCTCCCACATTTCTCGGATCGACTGATTCACTCCGACAACTTTGGGCCCTGGGCATGCTGAGCATTCCAGTTTCCTGTGGGTTCTGATGGTTAGTTTTGAATCCTGTCACGCAGCTAGATTGAATAAGTAGCTACATGTATTTCAACTATTCACTGGAAACCCTCCGTCAGGACACGCTGACTCAACAATTTCATTTTCTGCCAGCACAGTGGAGAGACGCTGGCTATCTGAAGATGTGCAGCTATGCATCAAACATCAGCAACCTCGGTTTGCCTGGCCTGAAAAAAATGAAGACGAGCACAACTTAAAGCAGTCCAAACACCGGGACTATTCCGATTGTGTTGTTTGTCTACATCTCACAAAGCTGTGATTTGACCTGGTGGTCTGCCCTTCCCCGTGACCCTCTCGCCCTTTGAGGCGAGCAAGCTCCAGCCATGCATCGATCGAGGCCTGCTGCCGGTGAATGACGCTCTCCAGGGCTTCTGCGTGGCGGTCCATCCACTCCAGCACCTAAGGTGCTTGCAGCCGGCACATGGGCATGGGTCGAAAAGAAGGAATTGGGAGCCCACAGAAGATGTTTGCACCCACACCCTGCCATTTGGGCGTTGATGTTGGAACCCCCATGTCAGACTAGGATTTTGGGAGCCCACTCCCTTGGGGTTGGTGAGTTTGAAGCCCCAAAAATAAGGACCCAATGGCATGAGGTGCCAAACAACACGCCCAAATGCTCTCTTGGCCAACTGAAGCTAAGTGCTGCACCCAGTGAACACTGGTTCTTGCAGCAGCCGGAGCATAAAAGGAATCCGGCCAGTCGTTGCGCTTACATAACCGATCATTTCACTGGGCCTGCTTCTCCTGACTTGCTTGGCACTGCAACAAGCTAGCTTGTCGCTGCTTTCAAGAAATTCATCACGAAACTCAAGGGGGTAAAGCTCGCAAACATCTCCTTGCGCCAAATAGATGGATTCCACTGATGGTTCCTTAATTGGGGCTTGGAACTTTAAGCCATCAACGGGCCCAGGCAAACCGAAACGGACACCAGGCCCCGGATCCCGTCCGCTCCGACTCTCGCGGTCCCGGCGCCGTGGGGGGCAGGGCCATCGCGCTGATCCGCACCGACGCCTTGCGGTTGGCCGTCCACACCGTCATCACCCCGCCGGGGGACCTCACGGCGTGGGAACATTGGTGTCCTTGTTGGTTGTTTTGCTCGAAAAATAGATGGGTTTCGATTCCTGGCTTACCTGGTGGCTTAATCATCTACCAGGGATATCCATCTATTTCCCCTAAAAGGACACCTATGCTTGGGCAATTATATTTGAATTTTGACTCCGAGTACCAGAAAACTCGAGCGCTAGAGGTGGAAGTGCCATTGAATGATCCCCGCATGGAGCCCCGAAGCCTTCAAGCGTTGAGAGAATTGGAAGACCTGACGGTACCACAGGGTTGCTACCAATCAGTGGCGAGAACCGGCCTAAGGCGAAGGAAGGAAGCCGAACCTAACTTGTTTAGCCAGGTTTGGGAATGGGATGCCTGTATCCGGATGGTGGGCGGCAAATCCTCATGGGCCTGTTTGCATGATGGCGATCAAGCGGATGAAAACCAAGGGGTCCTACATTTCCCGCGGAGGACATCAATCAGCGCTGCCTTTTGCTGAGGTCAGGCGGTGGAAAGTCAACAACACATCTAAGGTCGAAACTAGCGGCTCTGCGTGAAAGCAGCTGAGTTGCAGAAACCATTTGGTGTCGTTTATTACTCAAATGCTGAAGAAAACCGTGTTTCCTGCTTCCTGGCCTGAAGTTTTCGGTGCTAACAATTTGAGCGCCGTTTGACCAGAAAAAATACGAGACCAAAAGCGAGCTCTGAGGAAAGCATGGCGGTATGCCTAAAGTAGGATGCTGCACATTGCATATATATATATATATATATTGATGTTTTGGAGGATCCATGTGCTGCAATGTAGGCCGTGCTTCACTGCATGAGGGAACCAGCGGCAGACCTGCTCTTCCGCAAAATTGCTGCCCAAAACATGAACCATCTGACAGTTGCCAATGGCCCACGCCCGCATTCTATCAAATTGAGAGCCCAACTTGGGAAGAAGTGCTGCACAGTCTGTGCAAGGAGATGCACCATGTCATGATACAAGCCTATCACATTTCTTAAAGTACCTATAGATCCATGCACTGGCATAGGCTGTGAGAGGCGCACCTGCTCAAGCCTCGAAAGTCCTCAAAGTGATGCCCAGGGGCAACCAATTCCAACACAGTCTGGGTATCACATCGCGGCCGGTGGGTGAGTGTGAGGGGAGCAGCTTCTCCCTCTCGATTTCGGCGGTTGCCTCCATATCATTGGGAGGCCGGAGGCCAATATTTGGGACAGCGGTCGTATTTGGAGGGACCTTTCTTGATGTATATATATATATTCTATTTATCCGCCGACATTGCTCGGCGTGTCGGATACCTAAGAGAGGACTATTGGATACCTAAGAGAGGATAGAGGATAACCCCCCCCTTAGTCCCCCCCCGGGACACGTCAAATACGCATGGTTTTTCGGTCGCCACCCCCCCCTCCCCAAAAATTATTATAAGGGGGATTGTAGGGTAGGGAATTTTCAATGTAGGGTTTCAAGGTTCAGGGTTCATTTTCAACAAGCAAACAACTTTGTTCAAAACACCAAGGGGGATTCTGGGGATTTTTCTAAAATTTCTCAACTTTTTTTACAATTTTTCATTTAATAACAGTCTAACAATTTAACATTTTCAAGGTTCAGGTTTCAGACCATTTTACGGCTTTCTGGGGGATAGAATGGTTTAATCATATTATAAGTTGATAATATGAATAAACTGATCAAATATTGCTTATGGTTTCCGCCTGTCAGGCGTAAAACGGACTTTGTCCGGTTTCCATTTACTAAAATCAGCATAAATACCAAAGTTTTCACCAATATCATTCCACCACTGTTCTATTTTTCTTGACCAACCTAATATTGTTTCTTTGTCAATATGTTTGTTTCTTCTCTTATGCTTCTCATAATTAAACCGAATGATTGCTTGAAGAATTAGAAAATTTGTTCTCCTAAAAAAGAATTTCATATCTTCAAGATTTTTATAAGTGCCTGTAAATGTTATATTGTTTAACTCTGCTCCATATTCAATTACCTTTCCTTCATCGTATAGTTCATTGTAAGTATTCATTAACAAATCACGATGATAACATTGTATTAATGGCTTTTCTGGATAACCTAATTCTTTCAGACTCGTCACTATCCACACCGGTAGGGACAGGGATGTCAGTAGGCGGTGTAAAGCATTTACACCACCCAAGCCCCTATGCGGTGTAAAGCATTTACACCACCCAAGCCCCTATGCGGTGTAAAGCATTTACACCACCCAAACCCCTATGCGCTGTAAAGCATTTACACCACCCATCCCCAAACCCATATTTCAACGTTGAACCCAAACCCACCAAATCCAAACCCGCAACAAGAACCCGCCCCCAAAACTACTTAAAGAGAAAATACCTTATATATTATACAGTAAATGGCAGGGGATTTTGAAGCAGGTTACGTTATAAATTATCTAATATCCAATAATGAAGCAAACATAAAAACAGGGAAGAACAATAAACCTTTAAAAAAACTCGTTATAAACAACAAGGAATATTATTACAACAAAGAAAAACCCATCTCAACATCTTTACAAAACAAACTTAATCAAGTATCAAAAACACAAGAGTTCAACAGACACCACCTTTTACAGAAGTCAGCAAAGGCATTGAGAGGAATTAATACAATCAAAAAATACAGGTTAAAATTAGGGGCTAAAACATCAGACACATTTTCAGCATTGAAAGGCTATGCAAACACATATTCAATATCCAACATACCATTCAAGGGATACAAAGGATTAACATATCTTTTATGGCAAGAAAAGAAACTAACAGAGTTTTTACAACAAGCAAAATCAATGAAACTACTGATTGATGTTGAGGTTCTGTTTGATAAAGTTGATGTAGATGGTGATGAAACAGAAGACACTGTCAGCGCATCAAACACGCTTGGAATATCTACCAAAGATGAAAATGATGTACAAATAAAACACAATATGAGGAGTAGGAGATACAACGTTTTGAATGTAGGCGATTTGAAAAAGGCATTGGAAAATATACCGAATAAAATTGAACTTCAAATTGAAAACTCACCTTTGAAACATTCAGGATTGAAGATTAATAAGATTAACAAAATCACCATCCACTACGACAAATACAACCCGAACAGAGCAGGAAAATATATGGAAATACCAGAATGGATTTCAAAGAAAAAAGCGTGTATCAACATTCAAAACGAAGATGAGTTATGTTTCAAATACTGCGTTTTTTGTAAATTCTATGAAGTCTTCAAGAAAGACCATCCGCAACATATGAGACACTACAAGAAATTAATGACTACTGAAAGTCTCATTAAATGGGATGGTGTGAATTTTCCAGCATCAAATGATGACATAGACCATTTTGAAACAATTAACCAAAATTATATATCAGTTAATGTTTATGTTGAAGATGAGAACCAAACCATCAGGGCAGGCAAAATAACAAAGATTCAAAAACCATCTTGTCATATAAATCTACTACGAATTGAAAAAGATGATGACGAACACTATGTATTGATAAAAGACTACAACCGTCTAATGGGAAGACAAACCAACAATCACAGAGAAAAATATTTCATTGTATATATTGTCAGCACGGTTTCAAGTCAGAAAAGCTTTTAAATGTTCACACATCAAAAGGTTGTATGGCAAATGAAATTCAACACACTGAATTACCAGAAGAAGGGACAACAATGAAGTTTGAAAAGCATTTCAAGAAACTTAAAGCCCCATTCGTTATTTATGGTGATTTTGAATGTTTAACAACAGAAACATCAGATGGTATAAAAGGGACTTATCAGAACCATAAACCAAGTGGTTATATGCTTAACCTTGTAAATGCGTATAGTGGAGAAATGACACCGTATTTATACAGAGGCGAAGATTGTATGGATAAATTTTGTGATACTCTGAATAATATTAGAGACGATGTTATGGAACAAATGAAAAAACCAAAAGATATGATTATGTCAGATTTAGATGAAATTAAACATTTAGAAGCTAAAAAGTGTTTCTTGTGCAATGGCGCTTTTAATAACAAAGTTGAAGCGAAAAAGAAAGTTCGTGACCATTGTCACTTCACGGGATTATACAGAGGAGCGGCACATATGAAATGTAATATAGACTATTGCTTTAAAAAATATCATATACCAGTATTCTTTCACAATCTTAAAAACTATGATGCTCACCTAATAATTTCTAATCTTGAAAAGTTAAATACAAAGAAAGAAAGCATATCAGTAATAGCACAGAACAGTGAGAAGTTTATTACATTTTCATTAAACAGACTTGAATTTAAGGATAGTTTCAGTTTCTTGTCATCATCATTAGATAAACTTGTTAAATTAACAAAATATGAAGATAATAAATTAAGGGACAACTGGCAGGAACATTTCAAATACAGTTTCAAAGGTAAATACATTAAAAACGAACAAGATTTGTTTTTACTGACAGAAAAGGGAGTTTATCCTTATGATTATTGTAATGATTTTAACAAATTTAATGAAACTGAACTACCATCAAAAGAACATTTTTACAGTAGATTAAGTGAAGAAGATATAAGCGACGCAGACTACGAAAGAGCAAGATTAATTTGGAAACACTTTAACATTAAAAACCTTGGTGAATATCACGATTTATATTTAGAAACCGATGTATTATTATTAACCGATGTATATGAAAATTTCAGAAAACAATGTCTAACTGATTATGAATTAGACCCAGCCCATTATTACACATTGCCTAACTTTGCTTGGGACGCGATGTTATTAAAAACAGGAATTGAACTTGAACTTTTACACGATGAAGAACTTTATAAAATGATAGAGCAAGGATTACGAGGCGGTATGTGCCAAGTTTCAATGAGAAAAGCAGTAGCGAACAATAAGTATATGAACGATGATTATGATGAAACAAAACAATCATCATACATTACATATTTAGATGCTAATAACCTTTATGGATTAGCAATGTGTAAGAAACTACCATACAAGAAAATAAGATTTGTAAAAGACAAATTTCT